GTCTCATCCACGACATCAATGTGTGATAGCGCGATAGCAAGGCGAAGCTGGTACTAGAAATACCTACAAACCGACAGGTCATGGCGGTTTTTGCAATATTGTACTAGAGAAGGATATGTAGCACTGTACTGATGAAATCAATAATGGACTCACTATGTTTTTTTGGTGAAGCATTTCACTTGTTTCTATATAGGGAGTGTTATTGAATAATGTTGGAGATCGTCCTGCAAGTCGACGATCTGGTGACATCTTCGGTGTGGAGTCAAACTTAACCGAGGAAAGATCAGGCTGAAACAGGAAGAAGCAAACACTAAGTTTTATTTTTGGTCCTCCCGAGGAGGAATAGAAGAAATGAACGAACTTACACCCTTGTTCTGGGTAGGCGGTGGATTTGCAGGGGGCAAGGAGACTTCTCTCGAAAAATTAGGCCTTATACTTTTCGTTAAAATATCCTTCATCGGCGATGGAGAAGGCAATGGAGTGACTGTCGATTGCGTCAGATCTGACGAATACGTGCCCTGGGACGTGGTTTCCCTAGACATCGCTGTAGATCCCCCTTTTCGACGCTTACGCGTTCTAGTCGGTATAACAGGTTGAAGACTCTGGAAGGAAACACAAATGTTTATAAAAAGGTCATTTACTTGGAAAAGGTAGGGTGGCATGTTAACTAATGGTCCACATTTTCCCTTGTACATTTATGTCGAGTAGGCTGAGGTTGAGTTTTGATGGAAATTGCACCTTCTCTTCGAATGCTCAAATTTTTGTTACAATGGGACCATTATAATAAAAAACACTGTACATTGTACAACATACAAAACATCTTACAACATACAACATTGACCACAGTAACAGAACTATTGTCATGTTTACTATATTACCTAACGACACGTGCCCGGATTCAGGAAACAGGTTCAAACGCACAAACAAGATGGTTACTGGATGGGCTAAATCTGGCGAAAAACTGAATTTTCCACAGATCAACTCAGAAAGGTGCGATTGGGCGTCGCCGTGAAGCAGCCAAAAAATTTTCTTTAAGAGTCTTTCTGTCGCATGGCGTCACTTTTGTAGTTGCAAAGCTTGTACATCGGCATCCATTGCAAATCAGACACGAAGCAGTTTGAAATATAACATTATTTGACACTTCCTCCACTGCAAAACGAGCCATTTCTTTCGCATTGGACACTTTTGGATATTCGAGACGTGGCTCTCCAAAGCGCAGCCAATGGACACATCACCTCAGTCTGGACCCACTTACCGTCCGCAACTACACAGGAGTGGCCAGAAAAAAAGGGACACTTTGCTCATGGCGCACATCATCGAACTTTTGCAGCACAGGGTGCCGCTGCTAATGAAAGTGTCACTACAAAATATTTCCAAGATGGGAGGAGCCCCAATCAGGAGCAGGCCATCACCGCCCTCACCGTCCTCAAAATTCGACGTCTTCTTACATCACCGTTCAGCTTAAAAAGGGCTACAGTCATCGTTTCAGCCGAGAAGCTGCAACGAAATTTCCCGAAACGGATCGCTGCCTGATTGCTTTCTAGGGACAGTAGCTCTGAACATGCAAGACCCCTTCCGACCAGCGTTTCAGATAACGTCGTAAAGGTCCATGATCCGTCGAGGACCAGTTGAGCTCGAACCGTGCACAAGGTTCCCATGGCAAATTCTTGTGATGTCTTGGTGCAGAAGCTGTTATAACGTTTATTGATAGATTGGGATGTGCTCTTAATACTAAGTTGGGAGCAGTCGGTTTGAGTTTAGCAAAGTGTGATTAATGCTGTCTGAAATGTGGAAGTGAAGTGTCTCTTTTTTAGGTCACCTCTGTGTATTGGTAAGGTTCTCCCTGTGATGACGCAGAGGTCAAATTGTGCATACTCTGAGGCTTCGACCAGTTCACACATTCGGAGTGATCCATAACTCGAAACCTCGGGATTTCGCAATAGCGTAGATTTCCACAGTGGTGGGCGGCAATTTTGCGCCCAAGCGTGGTCGATAATTTGCAAGTGCCAGCACTGAGCCTCGCTTTCTAGGCACCGCGCAACCTCCCGTTATCCACTGCAGTCGGGCATCCAAAACGACGCTGATCTTGTATTTCTCCGTCAAGATCAACTTATCATATGAAAACGTCATATAAACTGCGTACCTTCGATGGCATACTCTGGCTTCCTTTAATGCAGCGCAATTTTTATGATAGCGGATGTCGAATGGTTTTTGTAGAAACTCGCGAAGAATTGACTCGCTAATGACTTCCGCTGCTTGAAATCATGTTGTCTTACATTTATACATGCGAGTTAATACTGCCACCGAAGCGGAGCTCCAGTAAGCGCCTACCTTCCCCTCTATAGGACTTTTTTTACTGACCCTTCCAAAAAATATTCAGAGATGGATGAAAATTTCCACCATATTTTTCCATGGGTAAAAGAGCGAGAAATAGTCTTCTTCTTTCAAACAACTTACCGCTACAGATGGCGATGCGTCGGCGCTTAACATAGTAGTGACTCCTGTGAACATCTGCATGAAGAAATCAATGAAATAGAACACGAAGAATGTGACGATCAGCGCAGCTATTATACTGGAAAATTGGAGATTTCGATATCGATTCGGCAAATATACGGGTATACTCTGAGCGAGTACAGCTAGCACATCATGAAAAATATGCTGAATTGGGCAGGCTATTTTGTTACTGAAGGGTTGGAGTGCAGGCTATCTCTTTCTGCGTTTTGTGATAAGCGCTAAAATGACAATGAACAAATCGAAGCTTTCATAATCCTTAACGGGATTTCTGCCAATTACCTCCATCAGCCAAACTTACCAAAATCCCCAACATCGAAAAATCTGAGCTCAAAGGGGGTGTCCATGTGCACAGTAATTAGAGCAAATGTTCATCGAGAAACCTTGTTCCATTTTATTTGTTCTTGGCTAGTTTTTTTTTCGCTTTTCCAGTTCTTGGTTGTTGTGTAAAGTGGATCGCCAAAAGGCCTATGCGAATAACCGCTACTTACAATGCACAGAAATACAGAAACAGGCTATCATCAAAGCTTGGAACGGATTCGATAAAGAGAGCTTCGGATCCCAGTTCCCATGTAATAGGCCACGGAAGTCTTCGACGTCGCCTATTTCCAAGGTCGAATCATAGATTAATAACTCTCTCACGTGTGACAGTAACATGAATGAATTCATCATTTTCTCGGGGTGAGCTTATAATTATGAAACGGTGCAAAAACGAAAAAATCTTATAAAAAAGTTCAGAAAAATGGTGCTGCTGCCAAAATTTGGACACGGGGGTTATTCGTGCTGGGGAATCCGCTGATATTGCTAGAAAAATTCCTAAGCGACTGTTTATTCTGGAAATGCTTTGTGAGTGGGCTTATAATTATGAAACGCTCTGTATAGCCATAGACCTTCCCAAGAAGGCAAGTGTAAGAACCGCGAGGACAATCCGGTGGTGGAAACCTCAAACGAAGGATAATGGAAGTTGGTCTCCCAGATCCTGAGGGACCAGTGCAGCAGACTTGGGGCATGCAGCTGAGATCATCCTACGATGCGCCAAGGAGGTACTGGGCGAGACGCGAGGTGGATTCAGAGGAGACAAGGCAGCGTGGTTCTGGAACGAGGAGGTCCAGCGAGTCGTGAAGCAGAAGAAGGAAGCATACAAGCGCTGGCAGAAGACCCGGAGCCCCGAAGGACCTCGCTACCTACAAGAGTTGCAAGAGGCTCGCTAAGGCTGCCGTCGCCAAGGCGAAGAACACGGAAATGGACGCCTTGTACGAGAAGTTGGAAAGCAGAAACGCAGAGAAGTTCGTCTTCAGACTGGCCAAAGCCCGGCATCGGGCTACCCAAGACATCAGGGTGGTGAAGAGCGTGAAGAGCAGTAACGGTGCCATCCTGAGGAAGCCAACTGAAGTCAGGAGGAGGTGGGAGGAGTACTACAAAGCGCTCCTGAACGAGGAGTTCCCCCACAAAGACAGCTCGCAAGCAGAGGCGACAGCTGGCCCCTATCTCACTATGGACAGAGGATGAGGTTCGTCAAGAACTTGGGAAGATGAAGGTTGGAAAGGCGGTTGGTCCAGATGGGGTGCCAATCGAGGCATGGAAGGCGCTCGGAGAGTACGGGATAAGATGGCTCACCCAATTCCTGAACAAGGTAACTGCCGAAGGAAGGATGCCGGATGCCTGGAGAACAAGTACTATCGTCCCCATCTTCAAGCAGAAGGGTGACGCGATGGACTGCTCAAGTTGACTGCTCATACAATGAAGCTGTACGAGCGACTGGTCGACTCGAAACTGCGGGAGCTGGTCCCGATCTCCCAGGAACAGTTCGGGTTCATGCCCGAAAGGTCTACAACGGATGCCATCTTCATCGCAAGGCAAGTGATGGAAAAGTATCGAGAAAAGCGCCGACCCTGCTACCTAGCCTCGACCTGGAGAAGGCGTTCGACCGGCTACCGCGAGCAGTACTATGGAGAGCGCTCAGGGAACGGAAACGTGCCAGAACACCTGATCTCTCTGGTGAAGGACATGTACGATGGGGCAAGGCAGCTATACGCACCCCACACGGCCTAACGAAGGAGGTGGACATCACGGTTGGGGTGCACCAAGGGTCAGCTCTGAGCCCGTTCTCCTAACACTAGATGCCATGGTGAAGGGCTCATGGAAGGACCACTGAAGACCATCCTCTACGCTGACGACATCGCCCTGATAGCGGATAGCAGAGAAGAACTACAGGGCAAGGTGCAGAAATGGCAGGAAGTGCTGGCAGAAGGTGGTGTTACAAACAGATTGTTTTCCATTTGTTATCCGTCTGCCTTCAAAACATCACCGGTATAAATGCCTTCATGCTGAGTATGGTTCAGTTTATCCACTCTGCTGCTGTGTTTATCCCAATAAACGACTTTGGACTCAGTGTTCGACGCAGCCGGAAGCAGAAGTCAAAACAAGTGGCGACCACGGCAGGATTCTCTGTGAGTTTTCGAAAAGAAGATTACAGCACACCATAGTCGATGCCGCCTACACTCAGAAGACAAGCTAAGCGCCATCGCCAGTCCAGTGGACCCGTGCGGTCCAACACAACGCTTTCTCAAACGACAACGCTCCCGTATGTTCCAGCAGTCAACTCGTCGCTGCTCAATTTCGTCGATGCTTCTATTCTCAGTAAATTGGAACTTCCCACGTTCGATGGAAACATCCTTGAGTACCCAGAATTTTCGTCTCGGTTTGCCACGTTAGTCGGCAATAAGGTTCAACTCGATGACACGACAAAATTTTCCTTGTTGAAATCTTGTCTGCGAGGTCGTGCTCTTCACGCGATACAAGGACTCTCCATGACTCCTAACAACTACAAGATCGCTATGGACATCCTCGCCACCCACTTCGACGACAAAGTGACTATGAAACATATCCTCTACGAAGTTGTCACAACTACCGAATTGTGACCAGGAAGGTCGCAATCTTCAAACTCTGTACAACCAAATGTTTGCTCTAGTTAGGCAGTTTGCTGAAGACGGAAATGACTCAAACGAGACCGGTTTAGGAGCAATTCTGCTTAACAAACTTCCTGCCAGAGTACGTAGTCAGATATATGACAAGACAAACAATAGCCACAACCTCTCCCCGACCGAACTGCTACACTTGCTCACCGATATAGTCCGTAAAGAAGCCGCACTATCAGAGATTGATTATCACGCATGCATGAACCGTTATCCTTCAAGTCACGAGCTTCAAGTGGAGTTCCGGTCGAAGCCTCAGCACTTTTCATATTCAACACAGAAGAGAAAAGAATGTTCCTTTTGTCGAAATTCCGATCACACCTCTCTCGTCTGCGACTCCTTCCCGACCCCGCGTGATCGAACTCGTCGAGTAGAACAACTACGTCTATGTTACAACTGTCTCTCCAGTCAACATGGTTCTAAGGACTGCACATCCAAACAATCCTGTAGATTCTGCGCCAAGCGTCATCACTCATCGCTGTGCCCTAAATGCTCTAATGTGTCTAATCCAGGAAGAGAGACTCCGCAACCTGGCCACTCCTTCGCCCCTAACCCCTCCTCGTTCCGAACTCACGAGCAGTTTGTTAGTGTTTCACCAAAAGAAACGACAAACAACCCTCATCAACAAGAGGACAATATCATCCCAATAGTTAGCAGTCCCTCCCATCAGAATCGAAACATACGTTCACAAGCCACACTCATGTGCACCTCCGTAGCCCTCTTTAATCCTGCAAACTCTTCAAAGACAACAGCTGTTACTGCATTTTTCGACTCAGGTTCCACCCAGTCGTACATCACAGACGAACTAGCACGACTCCTCGACCTCCAGAATATGTTATCCGAAGAGATCTCTGTGTCAACATTTGGCACTACGACTCCTCTCCGACTGAAATCTCGAAATCACGTCGTTGGCATCAAGACAGAGAAAGGAGAGAATCATCTTTAAATGTTGAGACATGCACACCCCGATTCTAATACGAAGAACGGAAACGTTACGATATCGTCATGCAAGCCATCTATATTGATTGGAAATGATTACTTTTGGGACATCGTCCTATCAGATGATTTCTACTACGAAACACTGCCGAACGGCTATCGTATGCTTCACACCAGTATCGGCAACATTCTTGTAGGCAAGTCTTTGAATCTGAAAAGTATTGCAACTTGCACTTCCTTTCATGCAGAAGGCGATCTCAAGCAATCCAGTACTCCACGACGAACTTGTTCAAAATTTTTGGAAACTAGAAGCAGTTGGAATAATGGACGATCCTACTCGAAAGGATGACGCTGTTTGTCTCCAGTTCTTCAATGACACTATCGAATACAATCACAAAGAAAATCGATATGTGGTCAAACTACCTTTCAAATACGATGCAACACAGTTACCCGACAATTTCAAATTAGCCTTCTCGAGACTTTCCAGCTTGCTCAAGTCATTGAGAAGTAACCCATCTTACATGGAAAAATACGACAACGTCATCAAAGATCAACTTCAAAGGGAAATTATAGAGAAAGTGCCCAATACGGAGTTGTCGAAGCCTTCCCATTACTTGTCCCACCATGGCGTACTGAAATCCGATAACGACAATACCATCAAAGTGAGATGTGTTTTCGACGGCTCTGCTAAGACGAATGGAAATCCCAGTATCAACGAGATACTTCACCGAGGACCAGTGCTCTTACCTGACCTCACTGGAATACTCATACGTTGCAGGCTTCCTCCAATCCTGATTATCAGTGACATTGAAAAGGCATTTCTGATGGTGGCACTTCACCCTGACTGCAGGGACTACACACGTTTCTTGTGGGTCAACGATACAACGAAACCATTAACTTCCACTAATATCGTTACCTACCGATTTGCCCGTGTACCATTTGGCCTCATATGCTCTCCTTTCCTGCTGTCCGGTACTATCCATCACCATCTGACAAAAATAGCAACTTCCCTTTCACAAACACTTCTCCGAAACACTTATGTAGATAACGTGTTCCACGGCGTCAACAATGTTGCCGATGGAAAGAAGTTCTACGCTGACTCCAAAGAATTGTTTCGTCAAGCAGGCATGAACTTGAGAGAATACGCCAGCAATTCTTCAGAACTAAACAAGCTTTTTGAAGAAGAAGGTAGAAGTATGGCGCAAACACAAAAACTTCTCGGCCTCCGATGGAACACTCTTACCGATGAACTGTTTATCAGTCTCCCACGAAAACCACCAGAGCAAACCAAATGGACGAAACGGAAGGTGCTGAAAGAAGTAGCCAGCATCTATGACCCGCTGGGTATACTCTCACCAGTCACTCTCATTGGAAAACTCTTTCTTCAGTCACTGTGGAAATATGAGCAGAGATGGGACGACGTACTTCCTGATGAATTGGCCTCCCAATGGCAACACATAATTAACACTTGGTCCGATCACACATTGAACCTCAACCGCCTCATCGTTGAAACAGGGCCAACCACGACATCAGATTTCGATCTTCATGTATTTACAGATGCGTCCGCAAACGCGTATTGCGCAGTGGCATACCTAGTTCAACGCCGTCAAAGTTCTCCTCACAAAGTTTCGATCTTGATGGCAAAGTCGAGGCTGGCTCCACTTCATCAATCTATAACCATACCCCGCCTAGAGTTGTCGGCTCTCACTATCGGTTCTAAACTGCTTACGTTTCTCTCTACGCAGCTAGACCTGGAGTTGCGTCGAAAGTTTCTGTGGACCGACAGCACTGTTGCCCTTAGGTGGACAAACACTGATAAAACAGTGCCAGTGTTCGTTCGTAACCGAGTAAAAACGATTCGATCACTTACCTCAGACGTCATTATGCGTTACGTCCCGACGGAAGACAATCCAGCCGACATTGGCTCTCGTGGATCCATATTCACAGAATTACAAGCAATGACAAAATGGTGGAGTGGTCCAGATTTTCTGAAGCTGGAAGAAGCGGCATGGCCTTCTTCCACAAACAGTACAACTACCGAGCTGTTTCACGCGGAACTATCAGAGGATATGCCTCAAAAAACGAGTAATGAGAGTGCAGAACATGGCTGTCTCCTCCAACTCAACACCACCATCGAACCTACATTTGGAACCTTCCGCTTCAGCACATGGAATTCCCAACTAAAAACGGTACTCTTGATCATACGCTTCTTTACCACAATGTCTCCGAAAGCTGCTTCACTCTTCGGTCGTCATCATGCAGTACTCCGTGCAAGAGCCGAACGAGTACTATTTCGATTGGCCCAATCCCAAAATCCCCCCAGTCCCGAATTGATCCGCCAACTCCACTTGTTCCAGTGTCCGAAGACGTACCTTTGGAAATCTCAAGGACGCATCGACAAGTAATGATCTCCATCAAGATACTATCACTCCTGTATTCCTTCCCAGTACAAACCGCATTACCACTCTTTTCATACTCCATACCCACTCCGAAGGCAACCACTGCGGTCTCAATCACACGCTAACTCAGCTACGGCAGCGCGTTTGGATCCCAAAGGGAAGAGCAACCGTCAAAAGAGTTCTAAGAAACGAATGCTTCTATTGCAAACGTTATACCGCCAAACCTTTCACCCTCCCTCCATTCCCGCCTCATCCTTCTCTTCGAGTTACGACACCACAATATTCCTTCCTTCAAAGTTGTAGGCGAGTGGAACTATCTTAGGACCGATGCTTTACCGCGAAGGTGGCCGCGATAACCTAGGCTAAAAGTTTGCTAGGAGCCGGAGTACGTTTAAGCGCGCTATATTTTAGCCAGGATTTACCTGTTAGCGCACGCACGGCAGCGGTCACTTCGGGCACTATGCGCGAGATAGTTCAGTGTGGGGAATGACCCCTTCCACTAATAATTGCCTGCGCTGAGATAGCTGACATTCTGGCAGCCTCAAAGTGAGCCAAAACCCAATAAAGTGGGCCATGGTGGAGAATAATATCTGAGTGAAATTAGTGTATTTGAACATAAAGAGTTTCGAAAATATCAAATGAAACCTTATTTAATTACCATACAAAATTACTAAGACGAACGGTGACAAAACAGAACTAGAAACTGCACCGGATGAATCTGCCATCCATAAAGATACTACTATGTTATAAAGACGACAACTTTGTGTCCAATCGAAACTATCAGATACCTCCGCCGTGTCGGTTTGTGTATCTGTATGTGTGTGTGTGAGTGTGTGTGTGTGTGCGTGTGTATGTATGTATGTATGTGTGTCCGTCCGCAAAATGAAGTGAGTGAGAAGGAAGCTCATGGGATAAACAAACCGCTAACAAATCGGGTAGCTTACAGGATTTGAGATATCAATGTTTTGTAGCAGGATAGTTGTGATAACACTCTTAGGGCTATATAAACACCTGCTTAGCACACTTCCGTTCATTCCACATGGTGCTGCAGTGGCAGCTGGAGGGCAGTGGAGAGAGGAAGGGAGGATGAGGAAGGGAAGCGAAAAATCTACCGTCATATCATGATTGTGTCCCTTCTACTGTATGAAACACCATTGTGTTGCATACGCGTCACTTCCAGGTGTTGGTGTCACAGGAGGAAGGGACCATAGCGGAGGATAGAAAGCTTGCGCAGGAAAGGAAGGTCCCGGCGGTTGACGGAGGCGGGACATGAATCTTGGTGAGTCAAATATAAATAGTTTGTGCCAACAGCTGACCTTTGCTCACCTACTTTTTGTATAAGGTGATTACGACATCAAACACACACCTTATCACTCGCCTGGAGGCAAATTACTAATAGGGCATAGCCTTTCGCACATGTTTATGGCGGTTCCTCTTTTTTCTTTTGGCCTCACAGAGTCGACACACAATTCAAAGGCCATTTGAGAAGGTACTTAAAGCAGTGCATAAGATAGCTTGCAGGACACACTTTGTGGCGTCTGCTGTTGCACGAGCATGTGCTCGCACTTCACCTACAACACTGAAACTCAGGATCTATTCGTCCAAACATTTATAGCAGGCTATCTTTCAAGTGATCTCTCGGATGTGTCGCTGTTCAACCTCCCGGAGGATTCTAACATGGATTCTGCTCCACCTCTGAAGGGGAGAATCATATAGATACAAACTAGCACTCTCTGTTATCATGTTTGAGCCCGATTTGCTCCAAAATGGGGAAGTTGATAAGAGAAAGAAGAATGGTGACTTTTGCAGTAAAAATGGCACATACGGTTACTAATTAAAGACCTAATAATAATCAGAATAGATATAATTGTTTTGAATAAGTGATATATTTATTACATAGCAATCATGTAATGGTTGGGGGGTTTTATTTTTGTTTCCACCTTCGTTTTTAGTAATTTGTATGGCATTAGTAAAGTTTCATTTGATATTCCCTTTCCCTCTCCTCCTCGGATCACACCATAGTTGGCTTTGCCATGCCCGAAATCACTAGAGAGAAATCGCCAGCTCTCTTTAGGGATGCGCCGAGCGAGAGCCAGCGGCGTCAGAAGATCCAATTCTAATTTCGGCATGCGGACAAAAAAGCAATCGCTCATTGCCTCTCCCCACATAGATTGGATGATAACCTTCGACAATTACATTAATATTGACGACATTTATGAGCGTTTTTGCTAATATTGTTGTTGTTCCTTATTTATACAAGTGATCTGTTGAAATTCGTAAAACATGACACCAGGATTGATGTTGCAGCATATGCTGATGACATCAAAGTCTCGATTGCATATGAAGATAGTGAGCGTGATGACGCTCAAAGACTTCTGAACTGTTCTGTCAACAACATGCTTCAGTGGTGCAATCGTTGGGGCTTGAAAATCAATCCCACAAAGACGCATTTATTTTCAATAGGACCCTCTTCCGTAGAGGTTCACTTCCCGGATAACACACCTATTCAGCGACATGCAAATGTTAATGATTTAGGTGTTAATCTTTCTAGAGATTTGAAATGGTCGCTCCATATAGACGCTGTCTCAGCTAAAGCTCTCAAGGTAATGCA